CGAGCTTCTTGTTTGATTATATGAGTTGATCATCAACGGAGTGCAATTTCCTACCATGGGATATCAAATTGCATTATGGCAGCTTCACGCCTTCTTCTGATCATTTCATCATTAGCTGTCGGAGACAGAATACTGGAATAGATGGACCACTGGGGCGGGGTCTTTTCCAATGTGGCAGCCCCTGTGAGCTTAGTGACAGGATGTCTTGACATAGACCTAAATGTGCTGGAAATCTCCACTGCGTGATTCACTTGCCAGGATCTAGAAGAAATGTGCTCCGATGATGTAAAAACCTGCAAACTCAAGTGCATTATGGCAGTTCCATGCCTCCTGCAGATGAATCCAGTTTGGGCTACTATCAGAGACAGGATCCCAGCCTGTCCAGCAACCCCTACGTTAGAAATCACAGCACGTTCTCTTTCTAAGATATGTACCAGAGGGTGCTCTGATGTGAAGTCACCCTCCTAGCCTTGCAGCTCGTGTTGCCGTTTACAGCTGTGCAAAATGGGTTTGAAAAGCTACCCTCGTCAGTTGGCAGCATTTTTACATGCACTTTGCACAAGTGTAAATGGTGCGACACAAAGGTGCACGGCAGAAGAAAATCTGGCCCAACACTGCACTTGTGAGCGCCAAAAATAGGCAGCGTCAGCTAGTGAAACTCACCCTAAGTGAGTTAAGGAGACCGGACGCTCCTCAGCCAACTCAGGATTTGCGAGAGTGAATGAACTGTTGCTTTGGGGGGATTTTGGTCTGATTATTTTGGGATCCACGTGGGTTGTAGGATTACTTGCTCATATTCAGTTACCCCTGGACACTGCAAAGAAGGGGGCCTTTCAGTGAGATAGTTATGATTCCCAGGGAGGGCCTGCACTCTTCTGAGCCCTGGCAGAGGTAAGGACAGCCTGGGAGCTGTTCTAACTTACACCAGCTGGCTGTGGTCTCTCAGGGACCATAGGCCAGCTGAGCGTAGCCTGAGAAGTGTGTACTCCAGCCATATCTTCTCCCCATGCCAGTGCAGAGTGGGGCTTGGCGAGGTGGTGAAGGAGCCAGTTACAATGGCTCTGTGTCAGCTGAGAACTCCCCACGCTAGGGGACTCTCAGCACGTGAAATCGGGCTGCTCAGGTACTAGTGTTAGTCAGATCTAGTGCTGCTCAGGTGGTGTGCAAAGGAGCTGGAAGGGACCTGGGAAACTGGCTCATTGCATCAGCTACTAACTTGTTCGAATCTCTTGTGTTCAGTGTCTCTGTGCATTTGCTGCAGTGCTGCCCTTTTCTTAACCTAACAAATAAAGAATAAATGTGAATGCTAGAAAGAGACAGAGACAGAGACAGAGAGAGGAGCCTGAATCGGATTCCGGTGCCTTTCTGGAATGAACTCTTCATACAGTCCTGCCAAAGGGGTGATACTCTGCAACCCATCCCATCCCTGGCAATACCCTGATCCTGAGGCATTACATTTGGCCAGATGTCTCTCCCCCCATATCTATCTATCGATCTATCGATCTATCTATCATCGCAACCATCACCATAATATTGAGGCTCTGGGCCCTTCCGAGTAACTGATGGATATTCTGAATGCAAGTGGATTTGTCCGTGAGCGTTATGATTCCCCTGAAGTTGCTTCCGTCCATTTTAGCTGCAAGGGCTCAATCAATCCAAAGCCTCCCGGGTTGTGGTCACCTGTGCACAGTGCATTAGCACGTCCGTTCTGAACACCGTGACTCCAGCCTCTAAAGAGTTAATCTTCTCTTTTCTTCGTAGGAAAATAGCTCGCTCTTCTATGTACTCTATAAGAAAGGAGGGTGACATCTTTCATTCAGAGAGGGAGCAGGCAGGCACAAAAGCAAACTCTTCTCCAAGGGTGGGATATATGTAAAAGGCTATTGGTTTGGGGGTCATCCTAGCCACAATTGGTGCTCACCCAGCTGTTCAAGCCAGTGCAGACAGTGGAGCAACTGCAGCTGGGTCTGGGGACAGTAGCCCTGGAGAATTGAGGGTAAAAGAGAATGCAGCCCACTCTGTTACCTGGACATCTAGGGCAGCACTGGAGTGACTTCAAGGGGGCTATGCCGAGTTACACCAGCGATGGATCTGGCCCCTAGATTGTTTTGAGATTTAGTGCAGCCCACGCGGCTGGTTGGGAACCAGGCACAAGAATACAGGCATTCCCACTTGCACCTGTCCATCAGTGTGAGCGCAAGCTCAGCAAAGGCTTGGTTGGAACAAGCTCCATATTGTTATTAGATTTGTATGGCAGGAGCAGCAGGAGTCCATTGTGCTAGGGGATGTACGGACGCATGATGTAACCCCCTACCCCAGAGAGCTTACGATCTAAGTCCAGAACGTTAAAAGAGGAAACTCCATTTGTGGAGTAATGAGTGGGGACTTCATGTTCACGTAAGGATTCAGTTTACTCACTGCTGGCCGTGGCATATGCTCGTGCCCGTATCTCCAGCCATCTCTGGGAGAGCAATTCAGATTACATTGAAAAAGGCCAGAAACCTTGCCACAGGGAACAAAGCTCCATGGGAGAAAGACACGACCCGGGACCAAGGCTATATTGAGCTATCAGATGGTGTCACTCCCGACCTACCAGCACTCAGTGGGAACAGGTCAGCAGATGGCTGCTCCTTGCACGGACTGAGAGGGGAACAGACCCGGGTCCTTGACACCTCAGGGCTTCGGTAACATGCGCTGGTTTTAAATCCTGCCTAGAACTGGAGTGCCTACTCAGATGAAAAGGGCACCTTCAGTTTGGGCTTTACCTAAATACAAGCCAAGAGACTGTCCCCCAAGAGACTGCGCAGGTGCACAAGGGAGCAGCCTGGAAGCAGGACACCTCCTGCCTCCATTTACCTCCTGGACAATGGCTGTCTGTGTGCTCTCCCAAGTGCTCATGCAGGCAGTGGTGCATGCGCCCCTCAGGGGGCCGAGAGGAGCTGATGACCCACCCACTGGCCAGTGGACTGGCCTGGCAAGGAGCGGAGTGCTTCATGGCACCGCTGCCCAATGCAGCCCAGTGGCTGGAAGGCACAAGTGAGCCGTGCATTAAATAAATACAATTAAACACACCTTGCAGGGAGAACGTTGCTCGTGACAAACCAGACCGAGTGCACACAGCTCCCTGGCATGGTGACCCTGTCTGGTGGTCCCACCGGGGGCCTGGGGAGGAGGAAATGAAGACGCACTGGATGCTTCCATCTCGCTGTCTTGGTGAGAGTAGGCTTCCGGTCAGGCAGGTCGCACCAAGCCCTCTTGACTCTGTCTCTGGCACCACCACCCCAGGAAGGAGACGGCGAGGTGGGGCCCCTTGCCCTCGAGTGTTCACATTCTGATGTGTTCACAAGAGGAATTTAGCTTAGAGGCCTCATCCTAAATTGAAATAGTCCCGCCCCCACCCTCCCGCAGTGACAGCTATGCAAGCACTGGGATTATGGGATGCAGGTGTCTAGTGATCTCTGTGGGGCTCTGCACTGAAGCCTTGCACACGCCAAGGGAGGTGTGATGGCTCTGGGCATTGGTGCCGGGACACCAGGCCTTTTGTGCCTAGGTCAGACATTTCAAGCCAGCCCCAGCGTGGCGGTAGCAGAAAGTTGTTGCTGTTTGAAGGCTGTTCTGTGGTCTATGTGCAATGAGACGTTGTTGCCCTCCAGCATGGGTGGACAGGTGTCCCCCTCCTGATCCTCCGTCACTACCCATCATCCGGCCTGGCAGCCAACAGAGAGGTCAGGGACTACAAGCCAACTACCATCTTAGTTGTGGTCCTTGCAGGTCACAGGGAGGTGCAGTGACAGGGCCCATTGGGGGAAGCTTTCATGGCTGGCTGTGCTGGGCTGGGGAGAAGTATAGGGGTACAGGACTGCCAGGTTGGCTCCTTAACAAACCTTGCTGGCTCGTGTGCCTGGATACGTAATGAGAAAGCAACGATCAGAGATGGATGGGGGGGGAGGGGGAAATGATCCCAAATCGGGATCCCAAAGCAAGAGTCGTGATAAAGGGTAGGTCTATCAAAGTTTAGAAACAAACCAATTCACATGTACAAGGAGTCCAAAGTCAGAACATGATCTCGTGGCTAAATAACAGTGCAGAGCTCCTGGGCTCTATTCATGTCTCTGTCAGGGACTTTCCTGTGTGGCTTTGAACAAGTCACTCAGGCCAGAACTTTCAAGTGTCCTCTAATCCTGGGGGCCTTTTTTGGGAGGGGGTGCATAGGGCTGGGTTTTCAGAGATGCTGAGCACCTGTTCCATGGAAGGAGAATGTTGGGATTAACTTGTCTTGCCCTGTATTTCTGCAGGAGATGCGACATACCTCGACATCTTCCGGGAGTTTTCCCACATGGCGTCGAACAACCCTGAAAAACTCAACCGGCGGAGCTTGCACTTCAGCCACTCCTGCAGATAGCCCCGTCCTGCCTCTTCTGAGACCTTCTGCTGGAGAGTCACTCTGTGAGAGCAGAAAGGGGGAGCGGCTTGGCAAGGCGGAATGGATCCGCTGGGCTCATCTACTGGAGGAAGACCCAGCGATCTGTTCCCTGACCAAACACACACTTACGGAGCACACCGTGTTTATTCCAGAGCCTGCTTTCGTATCCACATCCCAGACCAATGACCCGTGGTGACATGACTAACCAGCCAGTGTATCCACACAGGGCTGAACCAACTGCGAAAAGAAATCCCTGCTTCTTTGCAATTCACTCCCTCAGCCCCCGGGCCTCCCTCGGGCCAAACGCCTGCTTAAATCAATGAGATTTGACCTTCGATGTGTTCATTACTAAAAGGTAGGGGCCACACATCCCATCACTAAAAATATGGGGTAGCAAAGGGGGAACCAAGCACTGTTTCTGGAGATTATGTTAATCCCTGCAATGCTGATTTTTGCTGCACCAGGTGTATGGTACAGGTGTATGGGGCAGGAATGGAAAAACGTTTCGACACAGACACCAGCAAAATGGTTTGCCCGGGGCAGCAGCATAGTGGTTCATCTTTTACATCAATCCGGGGCAAACGCCAGATGAAGAGAAATGACTTTCTGCGTTACACAGGGACGCATTCCAGGGATGATATTCCTGCTGATTTGTGGTTAGTATTTGAACAGGTTCATTCTCAGATTTTATGCTTTTTGGTTTAGAAACCCAAAGGACGCAGAATAACCCATCGAGGACAAAAGTCTAAACATCCCAAAGTTGATAGAGTCTGGCAGCCACCTCGGAAACATGGAGTATCGGCTGTGAGGCCGCAGCAGACCCCAGCCGCGAAGAGTTTAAAGCCACGCCAAGCGACTTTCTGTTGAGGTTGCGCCTGTTCTGGGGACCTGGAGTGTCTCACCTGTGCTGCTTGTGTATTTGGTTTCTGCACAGAGGGATTTTGGGACTTACCCTTGGAGAATAGGGTGTGAAGATCCTCTGAGCTCCTTCCTGCCAAATGTAGGAGTGAATGTAGCTTCTGATCCCTTCCCCCTTGGGAACAGTTCGTGTTAGACTCTATGAAAACCGTAAGGGTTTGACTTAAATTGCTACCCTTGGTGTGAACGTTTCTGGCCAGCAACACAAGTTATCGGAGAGGCAGTAACAAGTACAACTGGCAAAGGATGCTGGGTAATATTATCCGCTGACTGACGTGTAGCCATGTGTGGCTAAGGGGTTCGTTTGTCACGGTACCAAACCCAAATCAGAAGATAAACATGTGTGAACTCCACGGGCAGTGTGTTGTTGTGGCATATTCCACCCTCCGCTATAGAGGGGTAACCTAGGGCACAGGAGAAACCAAAGAGGGGTTCATGATGGATTATTCAGCTGTGCATTTGGTTTCAAACACCTGAATATTGAGGGGTGTGTGCGGTGTTTGGATCCGGGTTGTCAGTACCGGCCTGTCTGGAGTAAAAACTTCAGCATGCAGGGACCTCACTGGAAAAAACCACAACTTTTCCAACTGAGCTTGAACGTTCCTGGGCCAACACACTGCCAAAGACGCTGATGTCTTATGCTGCTGAACCAGATTTGCAAATGAAGTGAGTTTAGTCAGCTCCGCTAGGCTAAGAATCGCACAGCACCAATGGCCTGTGGCACTACTTCACAAGGGCTGGTTTTCCATCACACCCACAAACTATAATTCACTTTAGGCTGAATGCCACCCACATGCAGCTTCCCAGGCCTTTAGTGGTTATGTGGTTCAATGGATAGAGACCCAGACTCGGATTTAACAGACCTGGATTCTGTTCCTGGCCTGCGGGGTGGCCAATGGCAAATCACTTCAGTTCTGTGTGTGCCTCATATGTTAAGTGCCTTGAGACTCTTGGGTGAAAAATCCTATGTACTATTATTATAATTATACCATGGGAGCTATGCATGCAGATCTGAAACCAGAACCTGGCCCTTTCCCCCTTGAAGAGTTTTGTAACTCATGCTTACTGTGCGGCTCAACACTAGGAGAGCAGAACTCTTTCTGTAAGGCATGGCTTTCGTTCCTATTTTTTTTACCTGTAATATTATTTCATAGCTATAAAAAGGGTTATGTGTGGACTATACAGGTATAGGCACCATGACATATTAAAGTGTATTGTCAGAATGATGTATATAAACCATGTTTACATGCTGAAATGTAATATATCATATTGCAGAAGAAATGTATTTTTTAAATAAGGGGGAATGGAAAAGTGTCACATGCAAGTGATGCCTATTAATTGAAAGTAAAATATGAGATTTTTTGTTTTGAAAACCAGGTGCATTTCCTCATTCTTTCCAGTCTAGGCCTCTGCAAACCAACGGAGCATTTCAGTTGGAGACGGTTTATATAACGTGAGATTTATTAGGCACTTGTTTATGGCTGGAAGTCAGGGGGCCAAATGAATTTTCCTCCGAGGAGATGCGGGGCACCCAACTGTTTCGGGTAGCTGGCGCATTTGATTCAGATTCAGGCAAAACCTAGATAGATAGATGTCTACTAAGAACTGAGACTATAAGCTCTCTTGGGACTGTCCGTTTGCTCTGAGTTTGTTCAGTGTCTAGCACAATGTGGTCCTGGGCCATGGTTGAGGTTACTCAGTGCTGTTGCAATAACATCAATGACTGGACAAAGACCACAAGCTCATTTAATGTAGGTTACCAAACAGAGAACAAATGGGTAACAACTTTATGTGCCTCCTGACCTGGGCTATTGCTAAACTATTCAGTACCATTTTCTCTTATCTAGTGTAATGACAGAAACAAGGGTGAGAGAGGCAAGGTGGGTGAGGCAATATCTGTGAGCGGAACAACTTCTGTTGGTGGAAGGGACACTTTTTTGAGTTTGACAGAGCTCTTCCTCAGGTCTGGAGAAAGTCACCAGAGTGTCCAGGCTAAATATGAGATGAAAGAGATTGTTAATCATAAGGGGTATTTTCATTTTAAGTGGTCTCCTACTCCATGTGAGAGCCCCTTCTGTTTAGCAATCTGCCCCACCTCAGATTTAGCGTGGACACTCTGGTTCCTCCAGACCTCGGCTCGAAAGCTTGTCCCTTCCTCCAACACAAGTTGGTCCAATCAAGACGTTGCCTCACCTATCTTGTCTCTCTCATATATGGAGACCAACACAGTTACAACAACACTGCAAGAAACAAATGTGGCATTTAAGCAGCACTAAAGCAACCAGAAGACACTAGCAATGTAGCTGTTTATTAGATACACACTCAGCAATATAAACAATTCCCCCATAATAACACCCTGCTCCATCCCACCCCATATATACATCTTACTCTTTTCTGGCCTTAAATCTCAGTCAGTGTGTCAAAAGTGAAGGGAGGCCTGAGGTGTGAAATTTGGGGCTATCTAGATCCTGGCTACTGGACCTCTCCATTTCTCCAGGACTATTTCTAATGAGTTTTTTTCCTGCACTCCTTCTATTGCTTTAGCAGAATTGCATAAAGGCACAAATTCCTTCTAAAGAAAAGGCCACTGTAGGCTTTTAACTCCTGCATCAAATGGAATCCCTCTCTCTCCCCCACGACAGATCACACTACCAGTGACTTTGGTTTTGAAGGGGATAGTGGGACAATTATTATACATAGGCTGATGATAGGGCTGCTTCTACCTGTCTCTTATTCCATTTTGTCTGATTGGTGACCACAGTCTGGAAGGTAAATAAATGACAATGGAAAATGAGCAACTTGCCATGTATTTATCTGATGCGATCATTAGCCTTTGTGGGCTTGAGACCTAAAGAAAAAGCACCCACGAGGACACAGATTCCAAGCTGTAAAGTCCTGACAGGCTGGAGGGTGAATGTAGGTAATCAAGCACTATGGAGCAAGAGTCCCTTAAGCAAATGGGTTCATCTTCTCTAGTCAATTACAGAGATCAATTATAACTGAGATTTGGAAACAGGGGGAAACCCCTATAAGCAGAGACCGGGTCCTAGTCGCCGCATTCAGATACACATCTGGATTCTGAACACTGCTGAAATTCCGGCTCTGAGATTTTGGATCTGAGATTTTGATTGGGCCATGTGGTGTACTCCTGATATATACTAGACACATTTCTAGGTATCATTTCTACCGTGCCCACCATCTTGGTGTCAAGCCATCCTCTGTATGCTCTCATGCTGCTTGCCTCTCACAGGGCTATATGTCCTTTGCAAGCCATTTCACCTCCTGTTTCCATCAGAAAAACACTAATATCTGGAGCAGAGGGGTGGGGGTGAGGTTTAATTCATTTGTTTTTGTAAACAACTTTAAGATGGAAGGTAGTGTAGAAATGCAAAGCAGAGTCACTAAACATGCAGCGTACCTGCAGGGTCAATGTACGGTCATTTTTGTCTCCTAATCTAAAGTGCAGGTTACGAGGTAATTACATTAGGGCCTACCCTGTGTGATTACCGATAACCTTCAGCAGTAATGACAGGCAGCACTGCCTGGTGTCCAGCTCTGAAGTCTGAGATCTGATCCCAGCTCTGAGTTGCTGTGGGCGGCTCTAAGCAAGTCAGTTTCCATCTCTGCAAAAGGAGAAGGAGAAGGGGTTAGATCGTCGTTGCTCCTAACACAGGGGTTCTCAAAGGTCATTGCACCGAGCCCCCCCTTCTGCCAACAAAAATTACTACACGACCCCAGGCGGGGGGACCGAAGCCTGAGTCTGCCTGATTCCCACTGCCCCGGGTCGGGGAGCCCGAGCCTCACTGCCCTGGGCAGGGAAGGGGTCAAAGCTGAGGAGAATCTTTACTACCGTTCCTGCCAGGGACATTGTGAAGATTCAGTATGAGTGCTATGACAACGCAATGTGCTGTAGAAGTATGGTTATTATTATTGGAACATGTCCTTAGAGGGAATTTCACCAAAGACCACACCAGGGAAAAATACGGTATTTGTGGTCTGGGAGCTCCAGTCCTTACGCTGTTAAGTCAGCAATCAGATCCTCCTCCTTGCCCCCGGCTCATTATTGTGTCACTCCCCAGCATGCTGCTAGGGGGATCTGTGCTGTGGGACATGCAGCTTTTCAGATGAGACGTCAGTCGAAGGCTCCTGACCAACTACGGTGATTATAGTTGGTCACTGCAACTGACAAGAGAAGATGAACCCGGTTTGCTTCAGGGAGTCTTGCTCCATAGTGTTTAATCGCCTACATTCAGCCTCCAGCCAGTCAGCACTTTAAGGCTTGGAAGTTGTGCAATCACGATGCTTTTCTTCTGCAGATCTTTAGCCCACACGGGCCATTATGGACGCGAAGGAGCCTGATTTAGGAATCCAGTGATTAAAGGAATGAACTTTCCTATTACAAGGAGAAGCATGACAGACAACTCCTGAAGGGGAAAGAGGCCCCCATGCTCCAGCGGTGCGCTGGATTCCAAGTCAGTGAAGTTATGCTTTAAAGAGATCTCTAATGACTATTTAATGCAATTAATGTAGCCTCTACTGAAGTTAAACTTCACAGGGAGCAGCCCTGGGCCACCAGCCCTTTGAAGCAACGTGCGTGGGTTTGACAGCACCTGAGGGAACAAAAGAGGCCGGGCTGCCAAGGCTCTGACAAAAGAGCGTTTTAATGATTGGGTAACTTGTTGGATGCTTCTTGCTATCAATTGCAGCAGCTCCAGTGGGAGGAGGAGGCATCTGGGACATTCCCAACTGGCTCCCTCGGGAGTTCTGAGCTAACCATTGGCACCGGCGCAGCTGGGATGCGAGACGGCAAGGCCTGGGGTGACCGTGCCCCTGTGGCTGATAGGCAGAAGCAAAGCGCAGCCACCACCACGCAGCGCAGATGCTCCGGGAGCGGCTGCTCCTCTCAGAGGTGGTGTTAGGTACAGCAGTTCTCAAACTGTGGCTCATGACCCCATTTTAACGGGGTCGTCAGGGCTGGCTTAGACTTACTGGGGCTCAGGGCTGAAGCTCAAGCCCCACCCCCCTGAGCCAAAGCCTGAGGGATTCAGCCCTAGATAACAAGCCCCCCTGGTTGGGCCCGAAGCTCTTGGGCTTCAGCTTTGACCCCTTCCCTGCCCAGGGCAGTGGGGCTCGGGCTCCCCGACCCGGGGCAGTGGGAATCAGGCGGACTCAGACTTCGGTCCCCCGTCCTGGGGTCGTGTAGTAATTTTGGTGTCAGAAGGGGGTCCTGGTGCAATGACGTTTGCGAACCCCTCTGTTAGGAGCAACGACGATCTAACCCCGTCTGTTGTTTTGGGGCAGCATGAAAAATGTGTTTCCCTCCCAGCCATTCCACCTCCGGGCAGCAAGGAAATAACCTGCCTCCTATTTTCACTCCCTAACAGCACCCTGTCCAGCCTACACCTGGTTTCCTCAGGCTCCCACTGCCTTCCTGTCTGTTTATATAGTCCCAGCTGCTGGGACTACCTCCACACAGTTAGCCCCTGAGCTGTATCCCCACCAGACATGCCAAAACCGCAGAAATTGGGCTTGGTTTTGGCTGAATTGGTTTGTGAGTTGCTTGTTGGCTAGTTCTTGGCTTGCGGCTTGTTGCTTGTTTGGCTTGTAGCTTCTTTTTTTTGATCGGCTGCTGGCAAGCAGGGGCAAGGGGGGGGGAGAGTCAGGGTGCTCAGCGGGCCCACCCCAGTCCCAGATGCACGCCGGGGGGATCTAGTCGCATAGAGTGTTGGGGTTCTTAGGGATTGGCTTATTTTGGCCTTGTTTTGAAATGGGATCAGCTTGATTTTTGGCTTACTGTGAAAGTCGGGGGGCTTATTTACCACGTGAAAGTTGGCAACTGTGGGCCCCACTCAGTTAATTGACCCCCTCTGTCTTTCGCCCTGGTCCCAATTAGTGTATCCTGGTGGGGATGGGCGTGCCAAGGCACCGCATCAGATCCTGACTCAGCACACCCTATTTCACAGGCTCATGCTAGAGGTAGGGTTGCCAACATGCTACCAGGGACGCCTCTTATTTAAATAGGAAATTGCCTGCCCTGTACTAAATCAGCCCGGGACGCCTTTTATCCCGTATTTCAACAGATTAAAAATATTATCATGATGCAAAGCCAGTTTTATTATTCCCTTCCTGTCCCATGATGGAAAGTTTGTAAAATTGGACAATGTAGTACTGCAGGATCAGCCCTATTATTTACTGAATCAATTTACCTCTAGCGCAGAGGTTCCCAAACATCTGGGGCACGAAGGCCTCATGGGGCCTTGCTGGAGTCGTGGGGGGGCTCTGTCTGGCAGGGGAAGTGGACGGGGCTCTGTGCAGGTGGTCTTGGCTGCCAGGACAGGCTCCCTGCCTGCCTTGCTCCCCCACTGCTGCAGCT